CTTGAACCTGAGGATCTCCTCCAGTTGGCCATCCCGCCTTGAAGGGAGCATCTAAAAGCGTCTTATGCCCTTTGATCAATTATGGACTCAAAAAGCAAACTTCCCCTACTTTTCTGACAACTCATACCCCACCTAAAATTGTTCCTATAGTGATAATAGCTTAATAGCCCAAGAGGTGCCAGACCGTGGAAGACAGATTCCTACTACAGACAACGCCCGACTAGCAATGGTGTTTCAGCTTAGCAGTTTCTTTGACTTTACACTCACATCCCACATACAGTTTGTTTTTACTGTCAATAGAATATTTAGAAGGTTCCAGAAGATGTTCAACACTTTACTGGAAAATGGACTTTCTGATGGATGTCTTTGTCCAGCTGTAAGCTAATGTAAGTACTCTAAACACCTTCAAGTGAGGTGAGGCTGAGCTAGGATGTTAAGTAGCTGTGATGGGTGTAACCAGCCACAGTCCCATTGCAAAATGAGTGTCTGTGGTTGGATCTGAATAGTCTCGACAGAGTCATGAAAATGAGCACTGAGCCAGTGTGGACCATCCTAAGAATCACCCATTCATTCATAATATCCCATCGGCTTACAACGGTGATGCCTCTATACTAGATATTATAGCAGAAGCACAGTACGTAGTAAGGTGGCTGGTCTTAAAATGTTTCTGTTCCTTTAAGGAACATTTTTCAAAGCCTGAATTGTGGCCAAGCAGTGTAACTGTCCTGGCAAGGGAGAAAATATTATGAAGGGACATGTTATCAGACTATTGAAGTAATGGACCCCAAAGAGTTAACCTTTTCCCAGGAATCCCATTCTGGGTAAAGAGGAAAACTGAAGCCCTATTGCTGGCCAGAGGAAGAACTTGCCTCTGAGAGATTGCACACAATTCTGAGAGCTTGCTGGGCCACCATGAAGGGAGCTCAGAGCCAACTGGTGTGTGTGTGGTGGGGGGGCGGACACACCTTGATAGCTTACTAATATGCTCACTCATGCCTTCTTAAGAAAAAAAAATCTATTTTTATTTTATGTGTGTTAGTGTTTTGCCTGCACGTGACTGACAATAGAGACCAGAAGAGGACATCAGATCTCCTAGGCCTGGAGTAATAGATGGTTGTGAGCCTCCATGTGGGTGCTGAGAACTGAACCCAGGTCCTCTGCAGGAGCAGCAAGTGCTCTTATTCACTGAGTCACCCCTCTAGACCCTAACTCTTGCCTTCTATTTAAGCCCAAATGCCACGTCAGAATCCCACAGGCAGACTTAGGACCATGGGATGTCTTTCTTGCTCTTCCCAGTGTGACCACATTGAGTGAATCTTCTATTGTTCACTATTACCTGTCTCTTAGGTGTGTTGAGAACAGGCTGAGCCTGGCTGGTTAGAGCTGCCAGAGGCACAGGGATGGACGCTAAATACTGGTAACAGTAGTTAGAAAATCAGTTTCATGGGTCACAAACTGTTTTAAAAGCAACTTTAGTAAGCCAAAAATAGAACAAACCTAGGATTTCACTCTTTCTTTTTTTTGGTTTTTTGAGACAGGGTTTCTCTGTGTAGCTTTGCGCCTTTCCTGGATCTTGCTCTGTAGACCAGGCTGGCCTCGAACTCACAAAGATCCGCCTGCCTCTGCCTCCCAAGTGCTGGGATTAAAGGTGTGTGCCACCACCGCCCGGCTAGGATTTCACTCAGATACCATGTTGGTTTTATATCACCCACAACCGGTCATTCAAATCTCAGATCAAAATAGATGTCTATCAATGCAGTTCAATTCTGACACTAGCTGTACAGACCCTAGGGTTAAGAGGTCAGCCCCACAGGGCACCTCTCCTTCAGGTGCAAACAACAAATGTGGTCTGCAAGCCGCACACACCTCTACCCAGCAGACTACAAGATCAGGGGGCTCCATGACTCCTTTGCCAGGGAGTTGCACAGGACTCAGAAAAGCTCTGTTATTATAAGAATAGACATGAGCAGACAGGGGAAGTACCCAGGTGAAGTCTGCAAGGACCTGGTGCTCCCTAACCTCCGTCCTTATAGAGTCTGGGTCATTCACCCTTCTAGGCAATGGTGTGTGTCCTGGTTTGCTTTCTATTTCTGTGATAAACACCATGACCAAAAGCACCTTGGGGTTGGAAAGGGGTTATTTGGTTTTTGTTTCCTGTCACAATCTGTCACTGAAGAACGTCAGTGCAGGAACTCAAGTAGATACCATGAAAGAACGCTGCTAACTGACTTTCCCTTTGTGGCTTGCTCAGCCTGGTTTTTCTTCTACAACCTAAGACCACCTGGCCAGTCGTGACAGTAGGTGGGGCACTCCCACATCAATCATTAATCAAGACTATCCCCCACAGAAAAGCCACGTGCCAATCTGATGGAGGCATTTTCTCTATTAGGTTTTCCTCCTACCAGATATGTCTTGGTCTGGGCCAAGTCCAAGAAAACTAACCAGTCACATTGTGCTTAGGAAGCCTGAAGTGCCCCCAGATGTCACTCTCCCACATTTCCTAATAGCAGTTTCATTGTTCATGTACGCTGACTTGAATCGCTCACTGAAGTGACTGGGGTCAGCCTTTAATCTCTCTCCAGTCGCTGGAGGCTGGGGAGTGGGGATGAAAGTTCCCACTCTAATCACTGTGGTCGATTTTTCTGGCAACTGGTCCTCATCCTGAGGGTATCCACTCCCCAACTGCCTGCCTGCCATGAGCCACCTCATTAGCATACAAGAGACAAGAGACAGGAAATTCCATGGGTTTTAGGAGTTCAGTGCCAGGTATTAGGAACAGAGAACCAATACCTTTTTTATTGTACCTCGATTGCACAAAGTAAAGACTGAAGTTATTTTGTTGAAGTTTCGCCCTCAATTGTTCACATATGTGTGTGTCTGTCTTCTCACCGGATCGCCATAGGAAAGATATTTCTTACTATGGATTGTGGTGGGAATGGTTGGAAAACACAGCCAGACACGCCTGCCTCCCAGACTTAGCCGTAAATGCTGATTTATTTGCTGTGCCAGCAGGGCCGAAGGCTGACATTACTCTGATCCAGCTCTGAGATCAGGATCGATCTCTGTTTTCCCCAGTGCTGGCTACAGGGTGCAGGTCTGATTCCGGTAAGGAGTCCTGCGTTCTGTAATCTTCTCAGTTTGAGAAACACCTTTCTGACAAAGCATTATACGTGGAATGATTTCTGTTTGTGTCCGAGGGTTTTAGAAAACACGGAAGAAGGCCACAGAAAGGCCACAAAGGAGATGGCTTTAGCTAGCAGGGAAAGCTTCCTGGGAGAAGGCATGCTGAACTCAAGAACTCAGCTGGGACAAGCCGCTCGGCACTACCTTCTCTTCCTGTTAGTGGCCACTGGAGTCCAGTCCTGGGTGGGAACTCACCATGATATGAGTGTGAGTTGTCTCCCACATGCCTGTGGGTATGCTGAGAGCTCAGGCCCTGTGTGCAGCATTGAGGTGGTGGCACCTTGAAGACTCAGAGAAGTAGAAAGTCATTAGGTCACAGGCACTCCATCTTCATGGATGGAGGGATACCATCTTGGGAAGTGACTCAGGTCTGGTAGGAGTGGATCGGCTCTATAAGAGCTTCTTGTTACCAAAAAAGAAAAAGAAAAAAAGAAATTGTTCTCTTCCCAATCTCTTATGTCCTGTCTTATCACATGACCTCTCTCCTCACACATCTCATCATTGTAGTGCTATCAGCTGGGAAGTTGCTGGTCCTTTGTTCTTGAACCTCCAGACTTCCAAGCCGAGGTGTTTTGTTATAGCTACACGAAACAGACTAAATATTCGATCAGGTTGTGGTTGACCCGAAGCTACTTCAGATTATGCAAAACAACACAACACAACACAAAACAAAACAAAACAGTGGTTTCTCAAATGTGCCTTGGTCTGAGAGACTCCATTTTTCAGGACCATATACCTGGGCAGATATGTGAAGAGCACCATCTGCCCAGTGCCAGCCATGGAGCACAGACTGATAACATGACTCGGTCCTGGGATAGACAGGAGCCATCATATAAATATATCAAGGTGACTTGAGACTGTAGGATTATTACCAGACTTAGGACTGCCACAGCCTGTGTCCTAACAACCAAGGACAGCCAGTCACCCTCCAGAAGCCCTTAAAAGAGCTAAGTTAGTAGAGAAATACACACAGGAGATTTTATTAAAGAAAATGTATTCAGTGTGGTACATCAGGGAGGACAAAGAGGTCAACGGCCACCCTAGGTCTGACTTTGGACCTCACACGAGGGCAGGGCTTAAATTAAATGTAAGAGATGTTCACAAATGAGCAGTCAGCCAAAGCGTGGTTGCATGTACACACATACAACCCCCAGCCCCCCATCCAACATGGTCTCGGCTCCAAGTCTGTCCACAAGCTTGTCTTACAACTTGTAAACCTTCCTTCAGGACATGAGCTCCTCCTCTGGCAGAGAGCTCTGTCTCTTGTTGGCCCCCAGGGGCTTTTTGCCTTTTCTCCTCTCAGCCAAAGATTTCTGGGGAAATTCTGATTTCTTGGAGTTGGTGGCTTCAATCATCTGATAGCCAAGGAAACGGTATCTTTAGAATATATTCATTCTTTCAAGACAGGCTGGCAATGGGGCCCATGAGTATATTAAAACCCTATCAGGGAAACGAGGCCTAGGAACTTAGCAGATAAGGGAAGGACTTGACTCCCTCACCTGGACTCCATCAAGAGGTGGGCACAGAGCATTGCAATGGGGATGACTCCCACCCACTTGTCATCTGACTACCCGGTGTGTGCCTCAGGGAGGACAGTCAGAGGCCTTCCCGCTGTCCCTAGGGCTTCAGCCCAGATTGGTCCCCCAGCTGCCGTTGGTGTGGCTGCTCAGCTGCCATCTACCCATTCTCCTGCCTACCCATCTGGCCCTGACCTTTCACCTTTGCAGCTGGACTCAACTCTACATCTCTCATATCTGTGAACCAGAGAAGCCTTATTACAGCAGCAATGTCTTCCTACAATTCATTTGTGTTTGTTTTTTTTTTTTTTTTTTGGTTTTTCGAGACAGGGTTTCTCTGCATAGTTTTGGTGCCTGTCCTGGATCTTGTTCTGTAGCCCAGGCTGGCCTCGAACTCATAGAGATCCACCTGCCTCTGCCTCCCAGTGCTGGGATTAAAGGCGTGCGCCACCACCGCCCGGCTCTGTGTTTGTTATCTTATCAATAGACTATTTACATTTCTGTCAGCCTTCTTCAGAAACCTTTTGAATTCTACTGTGGCCACTTAGCTTTTGTAGCCTTTCTGAAGCTGCATATACAGAGAGATCTAGATGGATGGATTCGTAGGGTGACCTGTAATGTGTGATCTGAGAGTTATGGGTGGTTAAGATTGGAATAAAAGAACCCGTGTTCAGCTTGGGCAGGGTTACAAAGGAGAGCAGGAATGTCTGGAGAAGTGCTGTCATCAAAAGTACCACACCTTATACATTTCTTGGTATTCCATAAACCTGAAATTTCTCACCTGAAAACTCAGCTTACCAAACTCATGCAACAAGCAGATCTTTAGCTGGAAACTTGTAATAAGCTACTGAACTATAGTTATGCCATCTCACAAAAGTATTCCTAAGTGCTAAAACTATCTTGGGTAAAACTGGCCTCTGGGCCAGTCCTAAATTCCTATATAATGTGACCCTGAGCTAAAGGTTAACCGCCTATTTAACTGCTGTCTCTCTGCTTCTGTAAGCAATGTTTGATTTCTGTATGTCACAATTGAGTATTTTGCACTTAAAAACTCAAACCAACTAGAGGTTGGGCTGCTTCCCACACCAATCTGCTTGGGACAGTCTCACTAGCCATTAATAAAGACTCCATTCAACTTAATCGGGCCTCTTAGGAGTTTTTCTCTTCAGGTATCTATGGTAGTTTGAATGTAATTGGCCCCCATAAGCTCGTAGGAAGTGACATTATTGGGAGGTGTGGCCTTGCTGACGGAAGTCTGTCACTGTGGTAGCAGGTTTTGAGGTCTCTTTGGCTCAAGCTTTTACATAGTGTGGCATACAGTCCTTCCTGCTGCCTGCAAGATGTAGGACTCTCAGCTTCTTCTCCAGCACATCTGCCTGCACGCAGCCATGCTCCCCGCCATGATAATGGACTGAAACTGTAAATGAGCCACCCCAATTAAATGTTTTAATTTATAAGAGTTGCTGTGGTCATGGTGTCTCTTCACAGCAATAGAAACCCTAACTAAGACAGTACCCCATAACACATTTACACCTCTAGATTGTTTCAGGCAAAACTGTCCCAAGAGACACCTTGAAAAACAGGGACCCAGGGCACATTGGAGGCTGAGATGAGACCAGGACAACAGAGTTGTTCAGCACTATAAAGCATTTTAAAAATGATAATCATTTCTTTTTTTTTTCCTTTTTTTTTAAATTAAGAGATCTTCTATTTGTTTTAGATAATCATTTCTTTGAGGGAAACAGTTACATTATGTGAAAGGAAGGTGACATGTCCCTTGGAGTTCCTGAAAAGACTCCGAGATGGGGAAATCACAAGCCAAATCTAGCACAGATGAGATACATATAAGGAAGTAAGGAAGGTAGGGGGTGGGAGGGGAAGGTTCAGCTACAATGTGGCTCCAACTGAGGCCTCAGGTAAGCCAATAGGGAGCCTGCAGTTGGGGTAGACACACACCCAGTTGAGTGGAGAGGACTGGGCCTTTGTATTCCCATTTCATCCAGTTATCCATTGACTCTGATTTGAGCCTTCAAAGGACATGGGACCTTAGGGAAGTGAAGAAGATGAGGTGCAGGGGCTTACACCCACAGTCTTCTTCGAGGGTATGCCCTCAATGTCACTCAGGCCCACCTCTATACATTTCCACCATTGCCCACATGCCAAGCTGGGGACTAAGCCTTTACTGCATGAGCCCTTTAAGGGACATTCAGAACCAAACTGCAGCAGGAAACAGAGTCATTTCATCAGGCCATTTGTACAGCTTCATCTTGGCATGAACGCCCCATCTCCCACTTCTCGGGTGCCTAGCTGTCCCACTCACAGGCAGATGTGGGATTGACATCTGATTGCTCCAGAATTGATAAGGGAACTGTCTTGCCCCACGGACAAGACTACAAAACTGTGGAGGTGTGATGTCGGCAGTGATGGCAGAAGGGATGCCCCCATGGGCCTCCACGGCTTGAGTCCTTGCTCTGTCACATCAGCTGTGCCGCCATCACAGGACGTTCCTTACACATCTGTATCTCTGTTGTCTGGTTGCAAAGCAAGAATGAAACCAGCATCCACTATACAATCGGTGTGAGCAGTCAGCAAGGTGAGGGTCCGTCAAGAGCCGGGGAAAGTGCAGAGTTCGTATCAGCTAGTGTTATTTTTATTTGAACAGGGAGAGAGCCTCTGTGGCTTGGGGGATGAGGCAACAGAGAAACAGATGTGGCTGAAACAAGTCCTTTGACAAAGCTCTGCTCCAGAAAGCTCAGCCATGGGCTTGGAAGTCCTTCCTGTGCTGTGGAGGGAGTGTGGTGGACCCTGTACAAGATGACCATGTCCTACTCCCCAGTGCCCATGAATTGGGCTCTTTATGTGTTCCACATGGCTGACAGATGTGGCTAAGTAAAAGATCCTGATATGAGGACTAACTTACTCTATTTTGTGCACTTCTGTAACAGAATACCCATGACTGGGAGAGAGAGAGAGAGAGACAGACAGACAGACACACACACACACACATACACACACGCGCGCGCGCACACACACACACACACACACACGTAGCACGAATCTTAGAAGGTCTTATTAATAAAAACAAACCCAGGGCCAGATATTGGGGTGAATGCTGGAAGATCAGAGAAGCAGAACAAGCCACAGCTACCTCACCTTGCTAATTCCTCAGCTGATCCTGTTTCCTCAGACTGGAAACCTCTGTGTCTTCATCCGAATGGATCTCAGCTGAACTGCTGCTAGAAGCCTAAAAGCTTAACCAGCTGTAGTTCCTCATCCTCACGCTTTAAATACCTTTCTGCCTCCTGCCATTACTTCCTGGGGTTAAAGGCGTGAGTCACCATGCTTGGCTGTTTCCAGTGTGGCCTTGAACTCACAGAGATCCAGGCAGATCTCTGCCTCTGAAATGCTAGGATTAAAGGTGTGTGCTACCACTGCCTAACCTCTATGTTTAAAATTGTGGCTGTTCTGTTCTCTGACCCCAGATAAGTTTATTAGAGTGCACAAATATTTTGGGGAACACAATACCACCACACACACACACACACAAAGTCAAACAGACGGACAGACAGACAGACAGACAGACAGACACACACACACACACACACACACACACACACACACACACACACACGGGAGGGGGGGGTGCTGGCCAGGCAAGAAGATGGTCATGAGTTCGTGGCCCTTCTCAGCTATATAGTAAGTTAAAAGCCAGGCTTTATAGTGAGACCCTCCCTGCAGCAAAACATAATAATTATTTTATTTTTCACAGTACTGGGGGCTGGAAAATTCTGAGATCAGTGACCCCTCTGACAACAAGAATTCTTCTTGCATCATCCCATGGTGGAAAGCAGAATGCCAAGAGGCAGTGAACTTTAGTGTAAGAGAACTAAATTTATCCTTTCGTAAGGAACCTACTGTTGGGATGACTGTATACATCTACTCACGAAGGTGAAGATGGGGCCTCTTAACTAAGTTTTGTGCCTTTCCAACTTCCATGTAGGAGATGGATGGATGGGGAGACAGGACTCCTCTTGGTTCTTGGGTGGATGGAACTTCCTGCAGCAAGATACTGTGCTGCTGTGACAGTTCAGGTTCACCTGCTTTTGGTTGACGGTGTTCCATGGTGCCAAGGTGGCTTGTTCAACAAAGAGCTTCAGATCCACTCTTGGAGACCGGAAGAGCAGGTGGCAAAGACCACCCTGATGTCACCTTTAAAGATACCAGTGCATCTTTGTCAGATTTCAGACATGCCTACAATTGAAAAGGTTCCCCCAGGCATTCTGTAGCCAAACTTCAGTGCATCATAAAAGGCACAAAGAGGGACAGAGATCATGCATCTTAGCATCAGCCACCACTGAGGTACCCCCGACACTGCCCCCAGTGAGAGTCTAGTGTAGTCACAGGACTGGGGGGAAGAAGGTGTGAGAACACTGTACTCTGCTCCTTGTAAGTTTATCATCTTCCACATGCCAGCTGGATTGGTTTTTGGTTTGTTTGGTTTTGGGTTTTTTTTTTTTTTTTTTTTTTTTGCTTCAAAACAGCAAATCATTGTTAAGCATCCCAAACAAAGAGCTGTCATCCAGAGTCTTGAAACTATGACTGACAAGGCAAAAAACAGGATTGGAGTCACTATCACACAATGCTTCCCCCACCCCACCCACCCACACTTTTACCTGTACTTGAAACTAAGGCAGCCAACTCCAAGTCCACAGCACAAGCTCAAGATCTAAGTTTCGTTCACTCTGATTTTCCACCTGCTGGTACTTTGCAGCAGGTGTCCTCATCCACCAGCTGGCCCCACCATCTGCAGCATCACCCAGGAATCTGCTAGAGAAGAAACTTCTTGAGCCTCACTCCAAGCCCACTGGATCAGAGTCTGGGGTGAAGGGAAAGCAGAGGAGACACCATCAAGGTGGCACCCTGAACTGCACCACGTTTCTGTTCGCAGTGAGACGCCAAACTGAGGACAGAGTGCACGGGAGCTGGAAAAGCAAAGGGTGAAGAAACTCATCTTCCCGGGGAGAAGAAAACAGGCCCAACCACTCCCGAGCCTGGAAATCCGGAGGGCCCAAAGTTGGCTTCACACATACCATTTTTTTAGCCCACTTAAAAATATAGACGCTCAGCCTCTCCTACAAATGATCTCATGACCGGGCACTCCCTGAGACTACATTTCACAGGGAAACAATCACCAGGGCTGGAAATTTCTTGATCTGATGGAGCAAGGGTCTCTCTTACTCAGGGCACCTACCTTGTCTCTTTGTGCCATACCCATAGTCAGCAACCACCTGGGAAGGCAGGTGGGATCAAAGCCTTCACTAGTTTGTTTTGATTTTAGAATCAGGGAGGGTCTTGTGTGGCTCAGGTTGGCCTTGAACTACCTAGCCAAGGCTGACCTTGAATTCCTCATCTTCTCACTTTCCCTTCCCAAGTGCCTGGACTACAAGGGTGTATACACCGTCATGCTTGGCTTGAGACAAGGCAGCATTTTGACAATTGTAGCCTTACACAGCAAAAGGAAATATGAGAACACTGTCCTTCTACATCCTGGTTCTATTATTCATACCCAAGGCTGTGTGCACTCAACATTATGATGGCCCTGCTCCAGGGTTCATCTCTCTCTCCATTTAGTTTGTAAATTCTATGAGAACAGAGACCAAGATGATCTTAACATTGATACCTTTAGCTGAGTACCTGGCTCTTCACAAGGACCAGTAAACATAAGAAAGTCAGGCAGGCAGGAAAAAAGGGGGTTGGCTAATAGAACACAGTATCTCTGATCCTGGACCATGAGGCCTCCAAGTCCCTCTCAATTCGACACCGTAAACAACTATACTACATCACTCCTCCTTAAATTCACCCCTGAATGGTCCAGGGAAGATGGAGAAGCCCTTGGTTTTCTGGCAGGAGCCAACCCTAGCAGAAAAGAGTAAGAGGAGAGAGGCTGTTGTTGGCCCACAGAATACAGGTTCTCCCAAAGCTGCTCCGGGAACTGGTCACAGGTTACTGGCTGGGGTCACAGGGAAGAAGTTGACTTAGAAGATTTGCGGAGCTGTCACCAGGGCAGCTCCTGAAAACGAAGCCCAGGCTGGTAGGAACTCTTCCCTGGGCAGCTCAGCTGCGAACCAGCTGGACTTAGCCAGTGCTCACCTCCCTCAGGAATCTCAGCCCCTGGCAAACATGGGTGCACATTGCCACCCAGTGGTCATGATTGGTAACAGGACAAGGTTAAAGAGGTGCCAGGACCCACAATGTCCAGGGAATGGATGCGTGGGAAGATAACAACTGGAATTATTTTATTTAGCTTTTTGTCAGCTAACCAAAACACACATTCATATTTTTGCGTATAAAGTACTGTGGGAAACTCAGTGCAGAAAGAGGAGACTCAAAACCTTTAAAGATGCTACCATGTACTCCTGGCCAAGACAGAACGGCCAGCTTAGGAATTCAGCTCAGACCCCGGGGATCCTACCCAGATGTTTGACCAGCTGGTCACAGAAGTCCCCTCCAGTCAATTACTTTTCTTGATGTTTCTAATCAACAGTGTTATATATGTGACGCTGTAAGCTTTTACATTTAATATTAGCTCATAACTCAGGAGCCTCAACCAGATGTTTGGGGTGAGAAAGAAATGGATGACTTATCAGGAGATTGAACCCAGGCCACTGGCTGCTCTCCAGGCACTCTGCCAGCTGAGCTGCAAAGCAGAGCGGCTGCTGCCCACTCTCTCCAGCGACGGTGGGAGGAGGGGAGAGAGAGGGGCAGGAGACCAGTGTATCGCTGCATGCAAGGGAATCCGGGCAATGCTTCCTTATAAAGTGGGAATCTTGTGCTCTTTTAAGTCTGTAGTGATCGGGACTTCGGATGTTTTGGGTGTGTCCTCCCCTGCTTATGATTTTGTGTAGGAAGGGGACATTGTGACGGAGAGGACACTGAAATATATGACCAAGAGAAGGTTCTGAACTGGCAGAGGGGTTGACTGTCACAGACAAGGTGAGCTCATGCCTTAAAGGTGCTGACTTAGAGGCTGGACAAAGGCTCAGCAGCTAAATGTAACCATAGGATGGGATGCGACATGAGGACCTGCATTCAGGTCTTCAGCACCCACGTAAAAGCTGGGCACGCCAACACACATTTCTGTAACTCCGACACTAGGAGCCAGGGGAAGGGAGGGCAAAGGCAGGCAGATCCCACGGGCCCACTGGCTAGCTAGTCTAGCCAAAAATAGCAAGGTCTAGGTTCAGTGGCAGATCCCGTTGTAAAAATTAATAAGTAGAAAAATTTTTTTTTGATTAAGGAAAACATCCCAACATCAACCTCTGGCTGCCACATGCACCTGCACACTTGCACATGTGTGTGCACAAACACACACATACATATGCACAAAGATACTGACTTGATCCAGGCATGATCAGACCTGTAAGCCCTAGCACCTTGGATGCTGAGACAGGAGGATCACTACAAGACAGAGGCCAGCCTAGGCTAAATAGTAAGTTCAAGTCCAGCCAGTGAGACAAAGTGAGTCTGTCTCAAACAAACAAATAAACACACTGTCATTTCTTATGTCTCTGCTGCAAACTGCAAAAATATACAAAGTAGGATTTCAGCTGATTATGGCAAAGCTAATACCTGGAAGAAGCCAAGGGCCTTCCAGAGGTCAAGCTGAGGCTCAAGGAGGCTTGGTGATTTTTGGCTTTTGATTATCAGCCGTTTCCTGCTATGAGTTTCTTGTGTGCTACTGTAACTTTTCCACCATTTATCAGGCACCATATCCCCTCTACTAAAGGAATATTTAGATAACCTTCTGCGCTGACAGCTATGTACAGCCAGAACCCCAGTTCAAGCTTCCCTGTAATTATCGTCATTGGCAGCATCTGGCCAGGTCCATCCCCAGATGGAGGAAAGTACCTTATCAGAGATACCTCTGTATTCTCTAAGAACAGACTTAAGTGTCCAGACTACCTGTTTGAGAAGGCCTGGAGGATGTGCCAATTAAGCTTAACTTCCTCCTTTCCCAAATCTTACCTCCAGTTCCAGATTTCCCTTCAACTATCACTAGAGGCATCTAGCTGTACACAGGTTGCCTAGCAACTGACCATACATTCCCCAACCCTGCAGAAAAATGGCAGATAGTTTGAACAGATAGGAGCTACAGGAAAAAAGAAGGCAGTTTTATTTTTCTCCCATTGATCTAGCAACTTATAGATTCTTAACATTTTGTACCAAACACATTTAAGATTATAGTTGAGCACATAAGATCCCTCTTCTTAGATATTACCCAAATTGGGCCTTTAGTTAATTCATTTCTCCATTAGTCACTTCCCTTTTGGGTTGCAAATGATAATTAACAATTACTGCCCCTCTATGTGATTCTTATCACCCCTCCATTTGACTCTGGAAGCCTGGCTTTGCACTGCCAAGGGATTACTGCTTATAAGTGTATATATATTGGGACTCCCAGGACATGGGAGGACGGAGGAGAGAAAAAGAGAATGGAAGAACTAGATGAGTAAGAACTTGAGAGGAACAAACTGAGACAGGAGGATGAAGAAGAAGATTTGGAAGAATAAATGACTGGACTAAGAGCTTGGTGTGCTGAGATTCTATTTCCTGAAAATAGTCCTCACCATTTGTAGTTTCTCTCCTGAGCCCCTGGGATGTGTAATATTAAGGCTGGTTCCTCTAATGTTATACAAGATGTCTCACCTGAGGACTGAGGCCCACCCTCTGCAGGAGTGAGACAGACTACAGAGAGAAAAGAAGTCTTCTGGGTTTTGCTTTCTGAAACCCAAGCTTCCAGGGGAATGAGGGTGACATGACATATGGGTGAAAATTCAGGAAGGACCAAAGGTAGTTCTGCCCTCCTGCACCCCTCTAGAAAACACACCAATTCTTAGAGCAGCGAGCAGAAATTGGTTGAGTCTTGTGCTTAGAATCTTTCTTTGCTTAGAATCCTGGGGAAGGGGCATCTGGAGAGAGGGCTCAGTAGTTCACAACACTTACTGCTCTTGTACAGTATCAGAGTTCAGTCCACTGCACCCACATTAGGCAGCTTACAGTTACCCATAACTCCAATTTCAGGGGATTTGATGTCCTCTTCTAGGCTCTCCAGGCACTAAACAAATGTGGTGGCATATACATACACACACACACACACACACACACATTGATTTCTTTAGGTAGGTTTCTATTGCTGTGATAAAAGGGCATAACAAATAGCAGCTTGGAGAAGTTGGCAAAGATTATTTCAGTTTACAGTTTATAGTTCTTCATGAAAGGAAATCAGGGCAGGAACTCAAGGCAGGAGCCTAGAGGCAAGAACAGAAGCAGAGGCCGTGGAGGAGTGCTGTTTAGTGGCTTGCTTCCCCTAGCTTGCTCAGCCTGCTTTCTTATACCACCCAAGACCACCTCTCCAGGGGAGGCACCACCCACAGTGGATTAGGCCCTTCTCCATCAATCATTATTCAAGAAAATACCCCTACAGACTTGCCTACAGCCCAGTCTGATGGAGGCAATTCCCCAGTTAAAGTTCCCTTTTCCTAGAAGAAGCTAGCTAGTGTCACACAGAAATGAACCAGCACACACATGGACACACATACATGGACACACACAAGCAATCACACACACACAAAAATCAAACGAATAAGTCCTTCAAACAAGAAAAGAAATCATTTCCTGGGAAGGGAGCGTGCCTGGGCCAGGCAAGGCTGCTGCTGGGTCTGGCCTGGTGGAACCCAGTGATCCTGTAGGAGTTAAGCCCTGGGGAGAACTTAGCAAAACTCCTGGTACAAAAAGTGCTGGAAAACCCGCAGTTATTTCTGCTTTTTCAGGTGGCTGAAGTGTTAGGAGCTTTGACAATGGCCAGTTCCCTCTGGTGTGAAAATATCCAGCAAAGGGTGACCAGCGCAGGACCTGCTCCCCCTTTCTGTCCCTTCTCATGCCGAGCATAGTGTCCCAATGCCAGGCACAGTGACAGTAAACGGTTAACTGGGCTGGGTTATAGCATCAGCTAGTTCCTTCTGCATTGAATCCAGCTGTCTCTCTGAGTGTGTGCTAGGCAGAGCATGTGGCCCTCTGTTGTGTGGATGAGGCTGACAGGAGATACTTAACAAGAAAAAAAAGAAGATCCCTTCCCATAGAGAAAGAAAGACTACTGCCGCACATGGCGTTAGGCCTGAGCTCCCAAGATTCCCTGGCCTCCAGCCTGCCAGCCTACCCTGCAGGTTTTGAGTTTGCCAGCCTGCCCTTCAGGTTGTGGACTTACCCAGTTCTGTGTTAGTGGGAGCCAGTTACTATATATCTTCTTATCTCCTTTTTCTCCAGAGAGGCCTGCCTCATAGCAAGGTAATTCAATTCCACAGGAACAGAATCTGAATGAAGCTTTGGTATGCGGACTTGAAAGGGGCACATTCACTCTGTATGTAGAGGATACAGAGGATGGGAGCACATTAGCATGGAAAATGAGGAGTGTTGGGATCCAGGGGTCTGAGATGTCCATCATCTTGGTCAGAATACCCTGGGCTCCCCCGTCTGCACAGTGCTTGAGGTCTGTCACTTTACTCTGGGATCCTAACCCAGGCACAGGGCACAGGTCTCCCAACTTTGACTATTGTCTGCTGTCCCTCAGCTCCATCTGTCCCAGGGCTTAAAGGGACTCAGTTCTTCTCTGCCTTTCCAGCAGAGATGTTTTGTCTGTCTGGATAATCCTTTCTTCTTCCCAGCTGATGGTTTTGGAACAGAAGCAAAGAAGACTCCAGGGCTTTGTTTGCCTTCAGCTCCACCGAACCCCTCCTCCAAGACATCTAAGTAGCTCTGGCTTGCAGCTTGGAGTGAAGGAAGGAAGCGAAAGAAGATGCATCATTGGTCACTCTTCTATTTCTGTAATAAAATACCAGACTGACAGCACAAACATCTGAGAGATCACATCTCATGCAGCAAGCAGGAAACCAAGACCGATAACTGGGAATGGGACATGCTTTGAAACCTCTCAGCCTGCCCCCAGTGACATACTTCTTCCAGAAAGCGGAACCTCCTAAAATGTTCCAACAGCCACCAACTTTGGACCAAATCATTCAAATGCTCAAGACTATAGGGAACATCTCATTCAAATCACCATAGACGATTAAATCTATCTTCAAACTGCACACCTCATGTTATGGAAGATGCACTAAAGTAGGTTGTTGGGTGGAGAGAGAAATGGATAGACAATAGGGGTGTGTGTGTGTGTGTGTGTGTGTGTGTGTGTGTGTGTGTGTGTGTGTGTGTGTGTGTGTGTAGTGTGGGGACTAAGCACTTGGTTGGGTATTTATTGAACAGTTGAAGGTTCTCATTATGCTTTGGTTGAGGGGAGATGGTATGGTTCATATTTGCCGGCCTTTTAAACTATGCCTACGATGGGTGAAAATTAGAAGAGGGTCACCTGTGCCCCGCCAGAGCAAACTGGGCATGTGACTCCTACTCACCTGTACCAAACCTCAGTTCCAGTTAGGGCAGTGGTATGTTTCTGTCCTGCCACTCTGTAGACACTGGAGCCTGTGCAAAAAGCTACGTTGGTGAGTATGGGTAATGGGTGTCCTGAGCACCCCTAAAAACATTGAGCTGGGAGACTCTTACTTGCAGCTTGTGGATAGCTCCTCACCCCTCAATTCTGGAGGATGATCACAATGACTGGCTTGCCTAGAGCATGGGGGTGGTGGTGGTTAGGTCCCAGACATACACAGTAGAGGGTAGAGAGGCAAGGTTAGAGGTGAAGTGAGACTCTAGAACAGGGATAGGGGGCTAGCTACCAAGTAGATGGTCAGCTAGGGATAGGTTCAGATAGCCATGTTGGGGGTGGGGTGGGGAACAGGTGTGGTATTCAAGAGGGGTTCTGGCCCAAAGAGCTAAGAGAAGGTGAGGCCATAGTATACCTAGAGCCATTTACCTCTCTCCAGGCCACCACACCTATTCCAACTCCCACTCCTGATACAGAACTAACAAATGTGTGTGTGTGTGTGTGTGTGTGTGTGTGTGTGTGTGTGTGTGTGTGTGTGTGTGTGTATGTATAAAACTAGGTTATAAACGATGTATTTGTGATTTGTACATGTGAAATTATTCCCATATCAGAGTAAATTGGCCACATAATTTTTCTATCTTTGTTGGTGCTCATGGGTAATCAAAGGGCACCAAGAAAGTCTGGCCTCTTCTACTTCAAAGGCTGCTTCACTGCTTAACCTGAATACATAGTTCTCTGATCACAAGTGGAGTCTATTTAACTCTTCTTTGATGCTAGGTGAAGGCTATCCAAGATTTGCTTTGAGTTCTGGGTTTAATCCTCCAGAAGCACTGTGGTTCCACTCCAACTTCTTGGAAACTGGCTACCATGAAAAGCTCAGCCTGACCACCGAATAAGGACAGTCTGCATGGATGTAGAAGCTACTTAGAGAATAATGGCACCCCAGCCCACAGTCAACACCAAGGCATCCATGTTGGACATGCCACTCCCCACTGAACACTCTAAAAGAAACCTCAAGTTGCAGAGACAAGTCATCCTTTGAGCACACCCCTACATGAGCTACAAAGGGGTTAAAAGTGATTCCAAGCCACTGGGTTTAAGGTAGTCTCTCTATAGGACAGTGAACAACCAAGAGTTTCAAAGTAAAGGGAAGTGATTAGATTATATTAATTCACAGTTTCATTGGGTTCTGAAAGCCCATGGCCTCAGTTTCCACTTCCCCAGCATCCCTGACAGCCATGCTCTCTCCACTTCCTCAGTTTCCACTTTCCAGCAGCCTCAACAGCCAGGCCCTGCACTTCAGCAAGTCAGGAGACAAATTTGTACTTCCGATCCCATCATGTATCCTTTCATAGATGCCAGTGAGTGAGTGATTTGACGGAGTGATTCTTCATCCTATCAAATTGACAATATTGACCATGATGAGCCACGTTTATAGTCAAAACCCATGTCTCAGGATGGAGAAACACCTCAAGAGAGTAAAGCATTTGCTACTTAAATATTCGGACCTGAGTCTGAATGCCTAAAAGCCCTGTGAAGTCAGACACAGTTGTAGGCATGTTATGTATGGTAGGAAGACTGATCTATGTGGTAGCCATATATTTAGTTTTGAAGGAGTGACTTTATTAAGTCCAGCAAGCCAAAGAAAAAGAATAAATAAACGAGAGAGAGAGAGAGAGAGAGAGAGAGAGAGAGAGAGAGAGAGAGAGAGAGAGAGAGAGAACAAAAATACAAATTGGGTACTCAAAACATCCAGCAGAAATCAACTGGGGAAGCTCCCTTTGAAGCAGTCAGCTAGAGTTTTCAACCAAGTGTTCAGGGCCCCAGCTTTACCTGAGTAGAGGTCTCTGAACACAAGACTACAACAGCTTGCAGCTGTGAGCTGCAGCTTCTGCTCCTGGTGACAATCCTTCCTATATTTTTAAGTATGTTCAGTTTGGGAATATCTGACAGATATGTGTCTAAGACACCAATAACAGAGGGCTCCACTTTTTTTTTTTGTCTAGGGGATTTAGTATGAAGATTCCTCTACATGGATTTTTATTGTACTTCCTAATACATTTAATTAAAAAAAAAAGAATTGTGCCAGATGTGGTGGTATACACCTTTAATCCCAGCACTCAGGATGCAGAGGTTAGTGGATCTCTGAATTCTAGGCCAGTCTGATCTAAATAGAGAGTTCCAAGACAGCCAAGGCTACATAGAGAGACCCTGTCTCAAAAACTAAAAAAAAAAGAACTTGTGATTGTTTATTTTTAATATTTGTGGGAGTGGTGTCAAGAAAAAAAATTTAAAATGGAGTACCATTGGCTTGGGGACTTTAAAATGGAGTAGTCAATGTTCTTGAACTCTAAGCACCTATCTAGTCCCAGCATAAAAACAAGCGTGTGTGTGCTCACACAGAACTGGGAAAGGGTCTCATGTAGTTCAAGGTTCACCATGATTGTGTGGCTTCAGACTAAGAGCCACCTGACACCACTTCCAGCATCTGGCCATGTTATTGAGTGATCTAATTCTAAGTATCTCCCAAAGCTTCTCTCTCTCTCTCTCCCTATCACTCCCCCCCACCCCCCCCGCCCCAGTGCTGGGATTAAAGGCGTGTGCCACCGCCGCCCGGCCAAAGCTTATTCTCTTAACCCCTATTCTTGCTTTTCTCACCCCCAAACAAAGAATATCATCTGAAATGTGTTCCTATGATTCACAGTGCAAATCAAATTAGCCAGATGTAGCTCCCATGCGATCTTCACGATCATTATAAGCAAGAACAATGCGAAGCTCTGAGTGCTTTGGTCGAAGGACACAGCTCCTAACATCAGAGGATGAACTGAAAAGGCTCACTCACTTCCCAGTACTGCTTTTCGGTACAAGCACTCCCAGAAGTCCCGCCTCCAGCAAATGACAGTATCCGGAAAAGATCAACCCTGGGAAAGCCGGAAGAGGTCCGGGGCGGAGCCTCCGGCGACTCTCTAGCTTCCGCTTACTCTATGTCCGCCTCGATTGACAGGCTCCGAGTTCCAAGAGTCCTTGCAATTGGATGAAGCTCCTTGCGTGGGCGGGCCTCCTGTGGAGCCGCGCGCTGATAGGCCGGTCCCGCCATGTGGGGCGCAGGGGCGGTGCTTGTGGCGGCGCGAGGGGTCTGGCTGACTTGTCAGCCAGGTGTGGACGGGTGCATGTGGGCGCTGCGTTCGCTGCTGCGTCCCATCGGCCTGCGCACCATGTCGCAGGGTTCGGCTCGTCGGCCGCGGCCGCCCAAAGACCCGCTGCGACACCTGCGCACGCGGGAGAAGCGCGGCCCGTCCTGGGGTCCCGGGAGCCCGAACACCGTGTACCTGCAGGTGGTGGCGGCGGGCGGCCGCGATGCGGGCGCCGCTCTCTACGTGTTCTCTGAGTACAACAGGTCAGTGCGGACCAACAGCCCCGCCCGTCTGGTTGCACCGCCACGTGCTCGGGGCCTCGCTCTCGCCCAGCCCTGTAGGTCCCTTACCTCCCTTAGTCCGCTTGGTTTTCAGGCACCAGTGCAGTACTTCCCATGGCCTGGGCCGGCGGTGGCTTTTGGCATGTCATACCATCAGCATCCGAAAGCAGGGGCCTCACAGCGAGTGTGTAGGCTAGGCCGGTCTGGTAAGTTGATAGGGAAAGGGGTCTCTTCCCACCAGCCTATGCTGAACTCCACTCCTCCAAAGAGGGTTCAAAACATACCAGCCAATAACAGAACACGGTCATCTTGGTTGTAGTTATATCGTTGTTGTATCTACAATAAAGCATTTTACAGAATAGACTTTTCTGACTCTACGCTCCTCCCACAGGTACCTCTTTAACTGCGGAGAAGGCGTCCAGCGACTTATGCAGGAACACAAGTGAGTCAACCTCTGGCTTCTGGGGTGGAGGTGATTTATGGGCTTGAAAGCTGAGGTGAGAGGCAAGTGAGACTTCTCAGCAGAAGTGGTCTTTGGTCAGCCGTGTTTCATCTCGCTGAAATGTATGGTTTTTTTTTCTTAGACTGAAAGTCGCTCGCTTGGACAACATATTTCTGACTCGAATGCATTGGTCAAATGTTGGGGGGTTGTGTGGTGAGTATGTTTTGGAAGTCAGAGACTCGTGGGAAGTCTCTGGGAGTTTAACATGCCTTGCAGCTCCTTTGTCAACTTCCTCCATTCAGGGGAGCTAGAAGTCTTGTATACTAGCCTAATCAGCTCAAGTGTGAAAAGCTAGAGTCAGGAAAGCAGGTCTCGACATGGTGCCAGTGCGGGGCCACATACACATTTAACTAGAGAGTGGCGGTGGTGATCTGAGTAGAGGTACTTATCATGAGAACCACCAGCAGCCATATGCGGACGCCTCATTATTCCCGGCCAGCAACTGGGAACGTCAAGATTGGGTTGCAGCCAGATTTTGAAAGCCTAGTGGTTAGTGGTATGGCTACAGGAAGGAGTGAGGTACTGGAATGCCCAATGCCCCATGCCCTGCCATGTACATAGCTGCTACTGGTGTGGGGCATCCCTTCACTTGTACAGTTCAGATGATGGCCACCCTGTTTCATGCCAGTTGCCTCCCTACCTCCCTCCAGTCACCTGTGCCCATTCTAGAGGCACGTGGGGGAAGATTCCTTGTCTCTAGTACCTCTGCTAATATTATTTTCTCTTTATGTATTGCATAGTTGCTTATAGGCCAGAGTAGGGACACATGGGTAAATAACTGGTTTCAATGAGAGGCCAACACCCCCACCCCCCACCCCTGCTTCCAGGCAGTGCCTATATGTTGAGAGGGCTAATTTTTTATTTTTTACATTCTTTTTAGGAATGATTCTAACTCTAAAGGAAACTGGGCTCCCCAAATGTGTTCTTTCTGGACCTCCACAATTGGTGAGTCTCTTCTGAGTCGCCCATCGAAACCACCTCCTTTTAAAAGTGTTAATGACGAGAATCTTCATCTGTGTAATGTAACCCTCTGTCCTCAGGGATAACGGGTAGTGGAGTAAACAGTCTCCTCTCATAGTGCAGATGTACCAACCGTGTGGCCCTGGGTGAGCTGTTTTGCCCCTCAGCTTCTTAATTTACAAAGTGGCCAGAACGTTCCATAAGGTTGTTAAGAGTGAGTGAAGTAGGGCATAGGTACCACATCACTTTAGATACCTGGTACCAAGGAAGTGCTTTTGTTCTTACTTACTAAACTTCAGACATCTAATTCTGTCCCCAACAAAATGTCTCAGTATGTTTCTCTCCATCTCCTTGAGCTTTCACTGTCTGTGTACCGGAGGAGCCTTGCATGTCAGTTCCCACTTCTCTGGAATCCCTCCTCTGCACAGCAGCCAGAGCAAGACGTACATGCAGTGTGCCACTTCCCACCCTAGGCTCTCTTGTGTGGTATGCTCCACAGCGTGGCCTCCAAGTCCCATAGGCCCAGGCCTCTGTTTACATTTCTGCCTGTGTGGGCAGCTGAAGCCACAAGGACCAGCACTAATCCACTGTCTTGCTTTCCTCTGGAGCTGTACCTGTCCCTGCAGACACATTGCTTTCAGCCCTGGGCCTTTGTTTTTCATTCCTCTTTCGGAGCACCCAATTGCTGCTGAGTTGTGTTATCATTTGTTTCATCCCCATCTCTGCTCTAATGAGAGAGCAAGGACTGCAGGTCTCTTAATGTTGCTAAAACGGCGGCCTCTCATGGTAATGGACATCTATACACAGTATCTGTATAGATAAAAATTTTAAAAGTACTTGCTAAGTTTTGTGTTGACATAAAATGAGTCCATATTGTACTTATTTGAATACTGTGTCCTATATTTAAAACATAACTTCTTGCTTGCTTATTTTTTTTTTTTTTTTAGGAAAAATATCTAGAAGCAATCAAAATATTTTCTGGTCCATTGAAAGGAATAGACCTGGGTATGTTGTTGACTGTGGCTTGTTATCTCATATTTTTTCTTGTATGAGTCCTGCTTTTCAATTACCATCCACCAAGAACTGGTTTAAAGCAAACCTTAAAATCACATGCTTTATTCAGCATGCTGTGGTTTTGTTCTTTCTCTTGTTCCTTCTCTTATTCTTTTAAAAGACTTACTTGTTTTTATTTCATGTGCATTGGTGTTATGCCTACATGTTTGTCTGTCTGAGGGTGTGACATATCCGTGTCAGATTCACTGTAACAGACAGTTGTGACCTGCCATGTGTGTTTTGAGAATTGAACCCAGGTCTTCAGGAAGGGCAGCTAGTGCTCTTAATTGCTGAATCATCTTTCCAGCTCCAGCCCATCTTGCTCCTTTTTTTTTTTTTTTTTTGGTGTTTTGAGACAGGGTTTCTCTGTGTAGCTTTGGAGCCTGTCCTGGAACTCGCTCTGTAGACCAGGCTAGCCTCAAATTTACAGAGATCAGCTTGCCTCTGCCTCCCAAGTGCTGGGATTAAAGGCGTGCGCCACCACTGACTGACTGGCTACCTCTTACTCCTTTTCATGCCTGGAGAATACTGGCCTCGTAGGCAAGAGTGCTTTAACCTGCTACATGCCTACATTCATTTCTTTGTCTCACAACCTCCACTCGGGCCCCAGGCTCCTTCCCCAGTCCAAGATGGTTCTTGGGGCACTGGATTCCTCGCAGGAGGAAGTGGTATGTAGGGTCTGTGGCCATCTTTGCACCCGAGCCTCAACTCCCGCTGTGCTTCAAGGAGCTCCATAACCTCTTGATGGGAAGTCAGAATGCAGATACGTCAGGATCCTGGAGCCAGCGAGCCTCTCTAGCTGTCAATATCCCTCTTTTGTAGTGCACTGACAGTTTTCTTTCAGAATTTTTTTAGTAGTTCTCGTGGTTGAGATGATAGAGTTCCTGGCTGGTTATCTTGTTAACCCAGATCTCTTGCGTTTGAGCACAATATTGGTTTAACTTTTTTCTTTTGTTTATTTTGAGACAGGGTTTCTTTGTGTAGTTCTGGTGCCTGTCCTGGAGCTCACTCTGTAGCCCAGGCTGGCCTTGAACTCACAGAGATCCACCTGGCTCTGCCTCCCAAGTGCTGGGATTAAAGGCGTGCGCCACCACCGCTGGCTGGTTTAACTTTTTCTTACTGGATCCTGTAGAGTGCTCATAGCATGACTTCCCTTGACTGTGTTCCATATAATTGGCTGATGAAAGTACAGCTTCCCTTTTTGCTTTTTCCCCCCCTAAAAATCGTTAAAGAAAACCTGGTTTTATTGTCATATTCCCAGTAACACTCGAAGCCGTCAGTGGCTGGGGGTGGAGGCCCCGGAGGTTCGTTTTTCCGACTTTACTACAGCACTTGATTTCCTGACCTGTGTTTTTCCTGCAGCTGTGCGGCCACACTCGGCACCAGAGTACAAGGATGAGACCATGACTGTTTACCAGGTCCCTATCCACAGTGAGTCTGGGAGCCAGATTTCCCTGGAGGAGGTGGCTGTGGGTCCCACCCAAGGGAAATGTGGGTGAGGAGAGACTGTGAGGACTTGGTTTGAGAGGCCTGTTTGTTTTCTGAGCATGATTAGAAGTTTAAGGTTGGATACTGCCT